GAGGAAATCCTTCATTATGAGTTGCAGGGACCATTTGATTGGCCCATTTTAGTTAAATATAGGCCGAATGTTTCGATTTCAACCCCATTTATCGTAATGAGACGAATCCATTGGCTTAGTGGTACGTCTTTTGAACACATATAGGCCTTGGATTTCTCCTTATCCAGCCTGAAACACACCATGATTTGCATGCATTGCTATGGGTGAAGGAAAATTCTTACGCCGTGATGACGTCACGGAAAAGGAATTCTGAAGCTCGTGAACGGGGGCTGCATGCGATGGTGCATAAGAATCAGGGGCCTGAGAACCTGAAACGGCTGATATCTTTCCGTGCCGATGTGTCTGAGCGCGAAACCCGTGCAACCGCCGCCGGTCTGCTGCATACGCGCCGGTGCCGCTTAGAGTGTAGTAGGAAAACCGTGCCCACTCGCTCTTTGTACAGTGTACACCTGGAACCAACTGGAAAGCCACATCCGCGACAAATCCTAGCTACGTGCCTGCTTATAACCATATAACTCCAAGCGCAGCGCACACCAACGCACACAATTTGCAAATGGTATCCATCCAATTCGCTGCATGTAAACAAGTTCAAAGACTGCACTTATCTGAAACCACCACTCTGCCTCACACTGACGCAGGATATGAGATGAGACCGGCAAACATTCTCAAGGTTAGTCCTAAAAAGAATCACACCACTGATTCTTCAAACACTGCTCAAAACCAGACCAACTATCAAGTTCGTCAAACAGAAGACTCGGACAGTCCTAGTAAATGAGGTCAAGCAAGCACCATTTCACAATTTAGACCACCCCGTCAGGGGCGGCGCCACGGGTTTTCGATAGGGGGGGGGGACGGGGACTGTAGCTGTCCGAAAATTCCAAAAGTAGATACTGATCGTGTATGCAAAAAAAAAAACGAGGCACGTAACGCCGCGAAACTTGGCAAAGTCCAAAACACATCGAATGGTGCATCCCGTTTCCAAACTTATCCTAGGACACCTAAGATCGATCACCTTTTCAAGCATCCTTGCCTCTAAATCAAAATTTGCAGTCTTGCCAACTCAAAGCTGGTTTCCTACAAGCTGCGAATTGCTTAGGGATCCTACTGGCCGCGTGGCCGAGTGGATTGGGTGTCCGGCTGGAAATCCGGAGGCGGGAAGTTCGCGACCGGTCGGTCAGTGTCGAGTAGCAGTGCCAACTATTCTTACGTTTCGTACTTTCAAATTTTCGATCTTACGTCTGGTCAGCTTCATGGCTTCACCATCATATAGTCATGGAGGAAAAGTGGGAATGTCTTCTGCTCTGACAAGTGCGCCAAAACTGCAATATAATTTCTGAATCATGACATCACCACCTGATCCATATGCAACGGGCAGGGTGCAGCTAATGGCTAGCCGTCAGTGGTCATGTCATTGGTGGTCACTCAAAAGGTCATGCTAGGTCATGGAAGGTCACCAGCCGTTATTTGATCACACTTTCTGATGGATTTTACTTACCAAGAGCTTCGCGGGAAAAACGAGCGCATGCCGCATGCCAGGCGCGGATACAAGGGGGGGGGGGCATGGGGGCCATGGCCCCCCCTTGGCCGATTTTTTTTTTCAAAAATAAAATAAAAAGTTAAAAAGTTAAAAAGCTGAAAAGGGGGCCTCCTGAAAATAAAGTGGCCGAAATCCGATGAGTTTTTTTTTAACCTACCCACTTAGTTATTTCTTAGAAGACTAGCTGAGAAGACTTCTTTGTTAGAAGATTGGTAAAGCTTTTCATAACTTGGAGGTCTCTTATACTCACAGAGATGACCACTTTTACAGGGCCTCCTAACCTGCACAGAGGGCCTCCAAGCCTGCACAGATGTTGAGATGTTGCCTGAACAGCTAGATAAGCTCAATAGACGCAGTTTTTTTTGGGGGGGGGGCCCAACAAGTGGGAAGATGGGGCCTCCAACAGGTGGGATTATGGGGGGGGGGGCTCCTGGTTTCTAATGGCCCCTCCCTTGGAGATTTTCTGGATCCGCCCCTGCCGCATGCACCGTTGAAAAAAAATTGACTGAAAGGGTCTCAGGTCCGGCGGCCTCTGCAGGTGAAATGCCCAGGGTAGGATTCCGGTCCTTGTTGATTAACTTCGTCAAAAATAGCAGTAGAGCTGTGATGTCGGCACCATTGTGTTCGTCATGATCGAGCTGGCACGACCTGCATCGTTCTCATATTCACCCTCCAATCGTAACAACACAGCATGGGGATTGGCAAATGGCGGGGCACCCCCTTTGGGAGGTAATGAAGGTCTCTGGAAACCTCATCCCTCATCTCTTTAGCATTAGTGGCTCTCCTTATGGAACAGGTTTCTTGACTGGTCTGTTTCACCCCAGAATTCAAAGACTAGTCAAGGTAAAACCGAGCGCACCACAGTGAGCACAATTTGATAAGCTGGTGTATCTCAGTTTACATGTAGAACCTTTCACGTATCACGTACCTAAAACACTTTCGTGCACTCATGCAAAAGCAACTGCCATGTTTCAACAGCTGGTAATGGCATTTTCACAGCCGCTGACGTAAGAAGGGGAGGGGGGGGGGCTCGATTAGACCCCCAGCCGCTCGGCCGCCGACCGAACTTAGTTTTGCAGAAAAAAAAACGAGTGCTATCGAATCCCTTGACGAGAGGGAGCCGATGCTACCCAATTATAAGGTCTTGGGCTACTGCGTGCTTTTTTGGTCCTGCCTGTGATCTACCCGAACACTTCTCCCCACAAGTGCTGGGGTTAAATGGCATAGATTTCAAATGGTTCCTGTGGTAGAACTGCCATGCTTGAATTTGACTAATTAGGAATAGAAAATATCCATATATAGTAACGAAATCTATGGAATTTCAGTTAACTTGGTTTTGTCGGCAATGGGGTCTGGCAGTGGGGTGGGGAGGTAATAACCCTGCCTGGCGCCCCAAAAGGGGGGGGGGGCACGATCCCCGAGGCCCTGCCGATCACCTTATAACTACAGGCATCACAGCTCCACACCTTTTGCAGATGGCCAGGACCCCCTGCGATACATCCCAACAGCAATCTTTATTCAGAACCTGCCTTGATTAACCAACGATGCATTAAATGCGACGGATAACTTTACAATGCATTATTATCAACTATTGAACGGGCCTCGCCGATAGGGGGGTACTGTACCCCCTAACTTTCGATAGCGGGGGACCTGTCCCCCCCGTCCCCCCCCCCCGGTGGCGCCGCCCATGCACCCCGTGGTTTCACATGAAACCCAATCAGTAACCATTCTCGTTTTGTTTTCTCAGTGTGAGTCTGTTCCAGTCGCACTTCCTAACACCTAACTCCTCCAAGATTCCTTCCCTGTTCCAGTGGCAGCTCTAGCCCCTACAAAGCCAAGGAGGGCCCTGCTCCAACCTCCTCTAGCTTGCTCTTGGAGGAGTTTAAAGGTGTTAGGAAGTGCGACTGGAACAGACTCACTGCCTCCTTTCTATCTCCATATACCTATCTACTGTTAACGCCAGACCCCTTGAGACCCTAATTTTTCGCGATTACTTTTAAATGCGTGAAGGAATTTCAACCAAGCTCAGGACATGGCCGTTTCAAGACAGGCCGAAACTTTTACAATTTAGATATTTTATCGCCATTTCAATATTTCAGGCACTTGTCATTGACTCGTAATGTTAAATTTCGAGCAAGATTTTCATCCGGTGTGTAGAGGCTATCACCAGTCAGTCTGTGATTCGTTATGACGTCACAGCTAAGCCCCGCCTCTGTGGTCTTGGCCTGCGGCGGTTTCGGGCCGGCGCGCGGTCACTCTCGCTGTGGCGGAGAGCGGGGACGGGCGACGGTCGAGCGGTGCCGAAAGCCGGCGGAGTTGTGCGTAGCGTCTTGGCTGACAGTGCCCAGAGAGCGACATGATGACTAAGGAGTCATAAATGCTCAATGCGCATTGCTTCTACAATGCTGATATGTTCGCTGATATATTTTTTTTTTTATAAGCTGCAAATGACGGGCAGATGGCATATAACTGACATAAGGTTAGGAAATATTCACCTGTATTTAAAGCCTATGGCGTTGCAGATAATGCGATAATGGGATGTCGGATGTCACCAAGTAGCTGCCGATTTGTACATCGCTATGCAACCATCGAACAACGCAATAATAAGTTAATTGCCTGAGCTTTACATCATACGGCTCGCTCGTATTTCAAACAGATACCCTACATCGAAAATCGTATTTGTTAGGAATCGTTAACGTTTGTTCGAAGCACGACTGAGTAGTAGGTTGAGGAGTGATGGTCCTCTTGGTCCTATATACAAGAGTCAACAAGAGCCTAACATTTACTTGACCGTCTGCTGCAATTGACTCATAGCACGTGAAGCGTCAGCGAAATTCATAGTCCTTCACAGATGGCAGGGGTGTCGTTTGTACAGAGGTCGCTGATGGGCACGGGTCAATGCCGCAGTCGTGGGCGGAGCCTAATGTCATATGACGTAGAAAGCCTCTATCCAGGATGGAAAAACAGTTAACATTACGAGTTAATGACAAGTGCCTGAAATATTGAAATGGCGATAAAATATCTAAATTGTAAAAGTTTCGGCCTGTCTTGAAACGGCCATGTCCTGAGCTTGGTTGAAATTCCTTCACGCATTTAAAAGTAATCGCGAAAAATTAGGGTCTCAAGGGGTCTGGCGTTAACAGTAAATCAAAACTAGTTGAGCACAATTAAACCTCCATATGGCATTCTCCAAGCTTCAAACCATGAGGTGAACTCCAGAAACTCGCACTTTTCACTCTATAAATACAAAAAATGTGCCGTAAACTATCCCATTTTCCCGTTCACTTACACGGAGCTGCCCCAACATGGCGGCGCCCAGTGCATACCCTCGCTTGTCAGCTGCTCTATCTAGTCTGTATATCTATGCTTCTGAGCCTCTGCCCCCCCCCCCCCGTGAAAATTGCTTAGGAGGCCCTGGCCTTCGCTGCATGTAGCTGACGGATTTTACCGTGTCGTCTGGTAGGTGCGCAACGGCAAGCTGACGGCCATGCTGGCCACGCTGGCGGATTCATCGTCCAAAATGAAGCAAGTGAAGAAGGAGGACCAGCTGTACACCGTGTGTCGGCCCAACACGGGCGTCCAGGTGAGCCCACGCCAATAGGGGCGTCAAAGTCACCGCATTGCCCACATGGTGGCTGCTCCTTACCCGGCTCCGTGCAGAAGCGGCTGGCTGACAAGTTACTGTGATTTTTCATCACGTAAAAGGGAATTTTACTATTTATACAGGTAAATAGTGATAATGATAACGCAATACGGGCAAGCACAACAATCTCAATGGAGGCGATCTGTCTCGACACCTGCTGTTGCGCGTGGACCTTCAGGTTGCAGCCGCTTCACGCGCAGCCGTTCAGCCAGACGAATCGTCCAGAGGCCAGTTTTACCAACAGAAAAAGAGCCGCCTGCCGCAATTTTTCTGTAAAAAAAAAGAAAAGAAAAAACGGCCGACGAGTTTCACCAAGCAGGCGAAAAAATATCCGCCGGCGTGGAAAAAAATATCAGCCAGAAAAATAGCCATCGAGTTTCACCAACGTAAAATGCGGTATTAATGGAGTGTTTAGGGGAAGGTGGGGTAAGACGGACCAGCTAAGGTTAGAGGCCGCAAATCTTGCTAGTTGCTACAGTGTTGTCGTAACTCAAATTGTTTATAGTCTTCTAAATGCTCAATCCTTCCTCTTTTGATATGTGCAAAGACTGAGCTTCAACTTAAAGAAGTCCAGGTGGTTGATGCTATGAAAGGGAGACATGTCAAAATCTCCGGCAAGAAAAAAAAACGTGGGGAAAGACGGACCACCCAGCAGTGCGTACTATCCATTCATGTTTGTTACACTTCTGCACTGTACTCTTGTTAGTAAAAGTAAACAGAGTGGTTAAATAACAAAATGAGCCTTTATTCTATATGGAAGTGCAGCTAAAAGCTAGGAAACCGTGTGTTGATTGTCGTTTGGCATTAATGCATGCTAGATGAGCACTTGAATGCATGGCTCACATGCAACAAGACTCCTTCCTTTTTTTTATAAATTTAGTCCGAACCTTTTGATGGGAAGGATTCACAAGGACAGAGCCACCGCTAAGCAAAGCTTGTTGCGATGACCCTGCCCTCTACCCTCCGATCGCGCAATTCCGGTGCTATGGCAGAATTTAGAGTCCAAAGTTTAACGTGCGCACAAAGCCGCGCACGGCCGGTCCCCTCGCTGACTTCGCCTGGCTACGGCCTGCCACCAACCGCAACCATACCTGTCAGGAGGCCCATAAATGTCGAGCGCCCGTCGCGCCTCGAACCCGGACTGTCATAACCGGGGACGCGTGCTCTCACCACGCGGAGTCCAACGCTCTAACCAACTGAGCTACGGGACCGGCAAAAAATAAAATAGCTGACTATTTTATTTTTAGAAATAAGGTAGTCAGCTATTTTTTTATTTTATTTAAAAAATATGTTTAAAAAAAAATTATTTAAAAAAAATAAAATTCCTGAAAAAATAAAATAGCTGACTAAAACTTCTATTAATGTTTTAGCAAAAATTTTCATATGCGGGGTAAAATGGACCATTACACGGTAAGATAGAACACAGTGGTCCGTCTTGCCCCAATTCTAAATTATGTCATTATTATGACGTATATGTTAAATAGCCCAACATTGCGAAACCTTACCTGTCCTTAAGTGTGACTACAACATTGTTGTTCACAGTAAAGTGCAAATAAAAACTAAGCATGCAAGAAAGGCGCCGAAACTAAATCACCCTTAGACCTCCTATATTAGATCGTCTTGACGAAAAACAACATTTTTCTCAATAGCTCAAAATCCATGCATCCTGCACGGTTAGTCGGAAGCTCATTTCATCCACAAAAGAAGCGATATATGCCATTCGAAAGCTGACGGTGAGCTGATTCTAAAAAAAAAAAATTCATATATCGAAATCGTTCGATGGCCTTTATCAAAAATTGTGTTTTTGTAAAAACGTAATATTTTTTTGTTCAACGAGCTGTCCAGGATAGTCTAGAAATCATTGGCATGTTTTTTTTCCAGTGAAAGCTGAATACCAAAGGAACAATATACAGCAATAAAACATTCTCAAATAAGAATATGCGCCTTTCACAGCCGGCAACAACGCGCAATTACATAACTGAGCGTCACGATGGATCAAGCTCAGCCATACAGAAGCGTGAAATGACCCATATCGACTCGCAGACCCGGCGCTATGGCTCGTTTGACCGGCCACGGACGAGACGTTCGGCTAAGAGACGAGACGTCTTACCCCACCTTCCCCTATCTGCGCTATTATATGTAGAAAAACAGCGTTAAAAATAGACAGTCCATTTTTTATGCCGTGTTGAAATAATCGGCCTTATTTAGTTAGGTATTCATTTGAGTAGGATTGCGGTTCGCGCGGAGCGCCATGTCCCTTACAACATCAAAACAAGGGCGGCAGTGGCGGCGCCACGAATTTTCGCCAGTGGGGGCAAGCTTGAGGTGACCCGACTGTTGTCTGATACGCCAATCTGCAAAATCCATGAGCACCTTGCCCCTAGATGTTGCCATCTATATTACTATTTGAGGAGGGTGCGTCTGTCCGTTACCGAGGTCCCGACTTGGTGGTGCTTTGCGTGGACTACAGGCCAGACCGTTGCACCTAGCCCGGTGAAATTTGCACAACTTATAGATCAAAGATAAGCGACGTGCCTTTGAGGGGTCTCAGCTCGATCGGGTCGTTAGTGAGCGCGTGGCGCGTGCTCAAAAAGTGCAAATTCGCGTCATAGACTATACATGTATAAATCGGCTTGCAAAATCGGGCGAAAATGGCTAAATTTGCCCGACACGGGTCCGATCCCCGTGCAATATCTCGGTAACCGTGGGCCGGATCGGCACGGGGAAAACAGCATCATGTAGATAATTGAACAGGTTATCGAATGATATGCAGTACAGGGGATGGCACGTGCCACGTGCACCCGTGAGGGTGCTTTGGTTGAAAAATTGCGGTTTTTGACGGATTTTGGAATTGATTTTATTTTTAGGTGACCATTAAACGGAGCGAGTTGGAACAGCGCCTATTGGCAAGAGAAATGTACCGCCTCTCATGGAAAAATTGTGGAAAGCTGATTGATCCAAATCAAGGTGGTACAAATCACGGGAGAAAATGGTGTTTGTCAATTTTGTGCCACTTTATTAATCACACGGGTCTTGCTCCATGATCTGATATCTCTGGCAATTAAAAATGGCACCGTTGGAAAGAGCATTCAATTCTGTCCAAAATTCACTCATCATTTTTGCATGATGAGCAACAGTATTCTTAAAAATGTAAATGTTCCAAACCATTACATTGTCATTTTTAGCGAAATTCATCGATGGCCCTCAAAGGACTTTACGCCAGTTTTCAAATCATTCTTGAAAGCATGATAATACGACACGGGCACCTCGATGCGATGTATCTTTTTTGTTTTATTACAAAATACTTGGCCTTCAAAAAGGAATCGAACGAAATGGATACCAACCAAATCGATACAGACCAACCCAATACCCACGGGTCAACAATAACCCTTCTTCGCGTTGCGGAGCACGCGGGTAACCCTAGTTCAAAACTATTATGGTTTCAGGTTTCATGCATACGTATGAGCTTAACCCTCGCAGGCCTGGAAGGGGTGGGGGCGTTTTTTGCCTCCCCATGGCAAATATTTACGATACGTCACGAACGCTTAGGGATAGAAAGACGAAACTTGCTGCACCTTATTTTTGAAGCAAAAAATTTGGACCTAGCCTGCTTGATAACGTCTCAGGGCCGATATTTCTAGACTCCTGCACGGCAAACTTCGGCGTCACAGACGTGAACCTCAACCAGCTGCCAAAAATAGTTTTAGAGATAGAGACAAATTGCGAGCACGGTTGTGTAGCATTTGACCTAGAAGAAAATGCTTAAGTAACTTTGGTGACCTGAGGTCAGAGGTCAGGTCAACGACCGGGAGCTGGGGCTTTAGTTTTTTTTTCGCAAGTAACTTCAACAAAAAGGTCCTAGAGCTACGGCAGTGGTACCTGCGCATTCGTCTCGTCGAGACACGTCGAATGGCTTATATATTGTTTTGAAAAAGTCAAGTTTTATGTTGACCTCATGTGACCTCGAATGACCTTTGGTTGACTTTGACACATGAAATGTCGTTTGTGATGATTTCATAGCTGCTGATCACGATTCTGGTATCCATTTTGCTCTAAGCATTCATTTAGAGCAGGGGTGGGCAAAGTCCGGCCCGCGGGCCGGATGCGGCCCGCCAAGCTCCGGCGTCCGGCCCGTGGCCTGGATAGGCAGCCAGCATTGCAATCCGGCCCGCGAGACCTATGATTCCTAGTGTGTGTGTGCATTTTACCTAAGCAGACTTGATTTTTAGTATGGTTGTCATGGGTCAAAACTCAAAAGTCATTCGTTTGTAAGTGTAACTATAGGTATTTGTCTCTGTCATGAGCCAGTCATTGCCCGTCGTTGGTCAGTCGCGCCATAGCAACATAGCATCCATTTTAGTCATTAACAAACGAAGCTCTGGCGAGCTTAGCACTCAGGCCCCCCCCCCCCCCCAGTTGCTCACAAATGCAACACCCGGCCCGCGCTCCCAAAAGTTTGCCCGCCCCTGATTTAGAGCCTCAGGATGGCAAAACATGTCTGTCAATTATCATGCCTGTCTTGAATAAGTGAAATAGCCTCTTGTGACTTTGAACTTGTAGCAGCCTTGTATCGTAAGCTAAAGCACAAATAGGGGTCCGCTAAGCTTTAAAACATTTCAAGACATCTCGGAATTTAGTATGCAAGATATAAAAGAGTGCAAAGTTTGTGGTCAATTTTGAGCATGACCGTGACCTTGAATTTGAATGTTATGCACATCATCGGGATACCCAGACTCTCTTCTTTCGTGTAACCTTCGCATGTGTATGGGGGTCGGATAGACCCCCCCCATGGTTTTTCGCGGATGACTCGCGCAAAAAGCGGCCGATCGCGACAAACTTTCAGTACCCTCGAGTTGATCAATTTTACACCTACTCTGAAAATTTCATAACCCTGACCCAAGTGACCTTTGACCTGTGACCTATTTCTAGAGGTCATGTTT